GCGGCGCGGGTGGTATTACCTCGACCCCCAGCCTCAGCAGGTGACGCACGACTTCGATCTGGCCGCTGGCTGCCGCGGTGTGCAGCAGGGTGTAGCCTTTTTTGTCCTTACACATCACGTCAGCTCCCCGGGCCACCAGCAGCTTCAGAACTTCCAAATGCCCTGACCAAGAGACAGCGGTAAGAGCCAGGGGAACCCAGAAAACACAGACCTGGGGACAGCAGCCTCTGGGGAGCCTCACCACCCCGAAAGGTGAATCCATAGGCAGCAAACAACGTGGGAGAAGAAACTGGACCGATGCCCGTGGGGAAAACCTACCTAGAAACGCTGCCCAGTGGATGGGCTGGCGGTCCTTCTTGTCGCAAGTGCTCAGGCTGGCCCCTTTGTTCAACAGCAGGTTCACCATCTAGACGGGGAGAAGTGGTGAGAGAGGCAAGGCTGCCATTCCTCCCGCCTCAGGCAGGCAATCCCCCCCGCCCCAGGCAGGCAGAGGTGCCTTCGCCACCCGCGAAGCCCAGACCTGGGAAGGGGGACGCACGTGGGACCCCCTGTGCCCGAACCCGCCTGGCATACCGTACCTCAAGGTGGCCGCTGTGCACGGCGTGGTGCAGTGCCGTGCGGCCCGTGCGGTCTGCGACGTTGACAGTGCTCAGCAGGGGGATGATGGCCTCCACGCATTTGGTGGCCCGGTTGGCAGCGGCGACGTGCAGAGGCGTTTGCCAGTACTTGTCGCGGGCATTGACATCTGCCGAGTGCTTCAGGAGGAGGTGAAGTGCCTTCTAGCAGGAGCAGAGGAAAGCAGAGCTCACCCAAGCTGCTGGAGCCCGCAGAAGCCCTCCAGCCACGTGGGGGAAGCTGCAGCTCGGTCCACCTCGTGCTTTCAGCACCCACAGGGCTGCGTAGACCCACACTAGCCTACAGCCCTGAGAGCCGGAGCTGCCCTTGCGCAGCTGAGCTGAAGCCGCTCCGCATGCTCACAAGTACGGCTTCTCCCTAGTTTGCTTTCCTGTCCCTGTGTCAGGATGTTATCACAGAAAAAGGGTGAGAGAGGTAAAGACAGCGTGAGAGACTCCCAAGAATGAGCATGGAGAAGGAATATTCCCTACA